TAGCATGGATGGAATTATAAAGCCACAAGAAAACTCTAATCTATTCTAGAAGAGATTTGCAGGCACTCCTCATTGCAACAGTCATCTTTTATGATTATGTATTCCCAACCCTTTGTTAATGTCATGCCAACCAACTGTCATCTTTTAGTCTGTTTCTGCAGTTCTTAAATCCTCGATCTCAAAGGTAGCTAATATCCAAGGATTTACTGTATGTAATACATGTTGCTTAAATGACGTCCATATGATTCTCCGAAGCATGATATTTGACGATCCTAGCACCTCGAATAACTGAAGTCTCCCATTTACAACACAAAACTTCAGCTCTAGAGCTGAATATTAATAGGTCGTTACAACACAAAAACTTCAGCTCTAGAGCTGAACTTCAGGCCCGGCTACTAGAATGCTGAAGTTTTGCGTGATTGTCTTTGCTACTTCAGCCCCGTATGCTGAAGTTATGCGAAAAAGCGGGTACGCTTGCAATTTTTTTTGCAAAGCGGGCACAAGTTAAAATGTGGCACAAAAAACGGGTATAGATGCAAATGCCCCCTATTTTTAATATAGTTTTGCAACCATGTGTCGTTGATTATAGGGAAAAGGGCTAAATATACCCCTCTACTTTGATATACTGTTCACATTTATTCTCAGTTATACTATCAGGTCAAATCTACCTTCATCGTTAGCAAAGTTTTCAAATTTACCCTCTAATCTAATGGACGCAAAATCCCAAACTCCTATTTACTACAATTTTTTCTCACAAATTACTTATCCCCACGTGTGCTCTACCAAAAAAGAAAATATCCTTGACAAGTTGATTTCTTGTTCCACTTGATTATTTAGAGCAGGAAGACTTAACAAACTCGCCACTCCAGACATGAGAACACTAGTAAATATTCCTTTGAAAGGATGTTCTGAAGCTGGACATAAATGTAAACAGATTATTTAATTTAGGATTTCTCAGACAATACTAAAGAATCATATGTCACAAATTTCATGCAGAAGTGCATGCACAAGCAAAATTTGCATCAAATGACCTGCTAAATCCAAATCCAAAAGGGAATGCATTTACATGGATACATACGTCCTTGTTATGCGTGTAGTCCATAAAAAAATAGCAAATATTAGTAACAACTTCATAAGCGAATGCATTTCGACCACCTGAAGAATCAAATAAATCTCTTTCAAATTATATACGGTATTTCCCTCATCCTCATTCCGTTGGAGACATACCCATAAACTGTCAATTCTGCCTTTCCTTTATGGTTTGAGCATAACCAAATACAAGGGGAATAATTATGTTGTAACTCCACACTCCCATTTTTATAATATGGACCTTTTTTCTTCTCTGATGGATCACACGAAGGAGATGACTGATTTGTGAAGAAGAATTGCAGTAAATAGAAGGGATTTGGGGCTTTCCGTTAGGTTAGAGGGTAAATTTGAAAAATTTGCTAACGGTGAGGGTAGATTTGATCCGATAATGTAACAGAGGGTAAATGTGAACAATATATCAAAGTAGAGGGGTATATTAGTCCCGTTTCCCTTGATTATATCGTTGCTAGATGCGCATTTCAACGAATCATAATCAGTCTGTGGCGTATGCTTCGGATGAGAAAATAAAATGAACAATAATCGATTGCCTAACTCAAATATAGCTTCTCTGAATTTTATTAAAATGCGTACATACAGTTTCTTAAAATTTCACAAATTTGCTGGGCTTGAACATATCACAGCTTCTCAAATATACTTGATATTTCCAATAAAAGATTGAAGGAGAAAGTATATTATGCACTCTGAAATATCAAGCTTCATGGAATCCTCTGCTCCCCTCGGAAAACTCCATTGCTTTGACGCAAAGGAAACAAGAGATTTTGGGTTAATTTTCGGGGTATTATCACTTTTATCTCGCACTATAAACTATTTATATCTGGTAGCCGAAAAAATATATAAAATTTGTATAATGTTTGTATATAACATATAAAATGTATATATACAAAATATATACAAATTTTATATATTTTTTCGGTTGTTATTTTTACAACGGCTATACAGTGTCACTTTTCCTTAATTTTCTCGCGGAAAGCATCATTCTATTGCCTTAATACCTATGCTAGAGCAGATTACATAATATTACGTTTCGTCTTTGCAAATTGTTAAGTGACTTGCCTAGAAATACACAAAAGTTAGGCTTACTTTTATACATAGGGAAAATGACACTTTATAGCCACTCTTAAAATAATAATCGAGTTATATATAAATTTTATATATAAATTTGTAACTTTGTAACTTCACTGTTATAGCCCGTATAGGGGATATTCAACTGTTTTAATGTGATAAAAAAATAGTTTGAATTGTGGATTATCCCATTTAATACTCTTGTGGATCCTGTTCAATGAAGCTCACAGGGGAAGCTTAATGAAAAACCTTTCTCCTATAAATAGGGGGCTAACCACACCCATGTAAAATGTTGTACAACAATCAAAGAGTATATTTACACAACTATACACTCTGATAATATCAAGCCTCGTGGAACTATCAAAGGAACAAGAGAATTTTGGACTAGTCTCGCGGTAATCACCATGCTTCTATTGCCTTAATACCAATGCTAGAGCAGATTACCCTTACAAACATGAGCTCCCTACCTAGACTGGACCCATGCAATGGTGATGAGAGACTACTCACATATATTCACCTTACACCTTTTTTCTTTTATCAAAGATTAGCATCAGCTCTGTTACATCAAGGGATCGTTAAATATACCAAGATCCCACGAAGAGCTGGCTCGCTTACTGTACTGGTTGTATAAAAGAAGGAAAAACTTTGGCAGCACAACTTCCATCATGCTTGACCAACAAAATTCCTAGAAGCTATATTTTGTGTAAGTTTCCAGCTTCAAAAGAATTGTTAACAGGCTATAATTACACGCCTCCCGCATCTGAACTGCTACAAGCTTGGTGTTGAAGGACATTACCTCCAAAATCTCCATCCAAGCTCATTTGTTGAACTTCTTGTGGAGAAAGAATCTTGATGCAGCGGACACAACCCACAAATTCCCTGAAGATATCATATGATAGTATAGAATATGTAAGTCAGAGGGCATATGCTTCTTTTTGTAGAAAATGCAAACGGCTGGAAATTTGACAGAAGCATAATTTATGAACTTACTCCCAAGGGTCATCACCAACCAGGAGAACATCGTTCTCATGATCCACATACACAAGCTTCCATCCTACTCTTTGTCTGTCCTCCAGTTGTCCCTCTATACCAAATCTACGAGCCAAATCTAGCTTAAGCTCCTCATAGCCTGAGTACCGTCCGATATCAATTGATCTTCCCACCGCACCACGCTTGTACACCTTTGAAATATATGATGCAAAAAAATGTTATAACTCTAAGAAACAATGAGATCCTATTAAATCACCTTACAAGGCTACCAACCTTGGTATAAGTCCGCATACGAGGAAGTTGAGGCGGTGGGTCCCAGGCACCTCTATCCATGAAATTACCATCATTGATAGTAGAATCAATTGAATTAAAGGTCATATATTCGGAAGCCATTGAGGCCAAGAGTTCAGGCTGCGCTTCCTTGGGGTTTTCATAGCTAGAGAGCATGCCTCCTCCTGATGAGAGATTGTCGGAGAAATCCTTCCTTGATCCCATTAAGCTTTTTGTGATCAAAGGATCAGGCATCATAGGCAGTCCTAACTGATTTTCCATATTTGCTCCAAAACCTATATCATTCCTTGAGTCACCCTGAACTTCTCCGTCTGGACTATCTCTGAATATCAATGGATGAGAACTGGAAGATAGTGGTGGGTCTGTAGCCTGCTGCAATTGGACATCATTTTGGGAAAGGCAAGCTGAAGTTGCTGAAGATGAACTATCCAAATAATCCAATGTGTGTCCTGCAGTGTTAAGAGTTTGAGGTGCCAAAAACCCATGGTTCTGGTTCTTGGAGACGTTTATTGACGGCTTAACATCATTTTTCTGTTGCAACTCTTTAACCAGGTTACTATTAGCAGACATAACTTCTAATCCACTCGAATTTAAAAGGGGTCCAGAATAGTGGGTTGTTTCATCCCGCACACCTGTGCTTTCATGGATTCGACCATTCAAATTTTGCTGAACTACATTTTGACAGTTGTTAGTGGACACTGAGGTGGACCATGATGGGACTTCATCCATTACAGGCTGCCCTCCGCCTGCAGTTCTTGTTAAACTACTACCATTTGTGGCAAGCTGATAAGTCGTTCGGGGTAGAGAGTAGCCAACTGGTCCAGATAGGTCTGGTAAGATTCCATATTGCTGCTGCTGCTGCTGAAGCTTTGGTTGCTGAGTTGGCTGGACAAACCGAAGATTGGACTGGCTATTTGTTCTTGTCATCTGCTGCTGCACAACCTGCGAGTGGGAAAGTGAAGTGGAGGTGGACGTGGTTTGAGACGCATCCAACATTTGGCTTGTTGCCAGTGACCTGGAAAAGTTCT